CAAAGACATTGTCTGAGGAATGAAGTGACATTTTTAAATTTAGCATAAGCGTATTTGATCCACTTATTGCTGAATATACCACAGGTTCGTTTTCGCAACTCTTCGATAGATGGTGGTTGTACGTTCAGTTGAAAACTGCTTATATCTGGTGGTTCTTCGAGACTCGATCCTGAAACGATCACTGACATATTTATCTTTCTTCAGTATTCACCCGTAAAAGATGCAGTTTTTCAACTCGTTTTTGTTGTCAGGAACTGAAATGCTTGTGACTGCATACCTACTCATTTGATGGAGTGATTAGCACCGCAGAACACGGATGAATTAATAACAGATTCTTTAGTGGATGTAAAACAGAATAAGAGAGACTGCGCTCATCCATCGACGAGAACGAATATGAAAGCAATCATCTGAATTGATGAACGACAGCAAAGTATTTATGAGGAATGATAATTTCGTTTAAACACGAATTGACTGGCACTGTTTATCAACATTCATTTCGAGTATTTTGCTGCGAAAATACATCATTTGGTTCGTATCTCACGCTATAAGTCAATTAACAGCGACGAATGATGGCTTGGAAGATGTGAAGCTCGTATTTGATATTTTCATACGAATAATCAATCATACAAAGAGGAAAGCAATTAATTTATAGCTGATTTCTTCTCGAATTGCTGCTGAAGGCACACGCAATCAAATGAATATGAATTCACCGAATAGCATTGCATCACCAGCGAAAATGTTGAGTTCTCATTCTCAAATTCTCATTCTGTTTGGATGCTGAACTTCAGAGGGGTTCCTGGCTCAGTGTTGCGAGTTGGGCAGTGTTTGTTGGATTAATATTTGAGAAGGTATCACATGTCCTCAGTACGAAATGATTTCCATAAAGCAATTAGTGTTTAATTGATATCGTCTTCCAAATCTCACATTTCTTACCAAACAAACCCATAAACTCATTTTAATTCTTGTTTGAATAGCTCAATTTCGCAACTCAAGCAAAAATGAATTCGATATAATATGAATATGAAAGTGATGCATGTTTTATGCATGCAACACTGCAGTCGACTTTATTTATCCATCCTCTTTCAATGTGCTTACTGCAAGTGACATAAACATTAACGATCACTTTGCATTTATAACTAATCTCTTCTTCTGTTCGGCTTTTTCCCGTAAACTTTCACATTAAGTTTTCGTTAACTGATGTGGAAAAACGGCAACATTCTAAGGAGGGATATTAACATTACGATGGGATGGGAACATGAAGAGTAAAAAAAACTTCGAAAGTATAGAGGAGAATGGGAATTTTGAACAAATATCAGCAAGAGGGGGGAGGGATGGGGGTGGGGGAGGCTGAAAACCATTGGTTTCAGGGGTTCATGAAAGGGGTAGGTGAAAAGATGATTTTACTTATGTTGATAAACAAACCTATGAAGAGATTGCTCAAAATGTGATCGATATAAAACGTTTCTGAGTGGTCGAAATGGATGAGTGCAATGGGATGGATCAATTAGTTTTGATAAGATCATTTTGCTGACGGAGATATAAACTAGCAAATAGCATTTGTCGTTATTGTCAGTGCACAGCAGAAGTTGTGAAGATTAAGATTATGATTAGTGATTTGATAAGTGAATAACTTACTGGAGTATGAATTGAGCGGGATGGCTGCAGTCATGGCTGTTCATCTATCAGAATTTCTTGACGATCGTAGACTACGAAGGAGCGCAGTAGTGCAGTGAAATGCTCATGCGCTTCTTCATTTCAAGCTTATGAATTGACATATATATATATATGTGCTTGTTGATAGATTGGGTGGAGTTATTTTGGGTAGTGGTTCGATGATTGTACATTGACTGTTTAGCAGCATGATGATAATATGAGTGCTTGACATGTCTTTCAGATTAGCTAATCGCATAGAGCTTAATCAAATCAACCCTCTTTGAACGTGTCATACTTCATCTTCACTTCCTACACTCAGCTTGTTTGGTTGCTCTAGAATATTGCTTGTGAATAGTTTTTATTTGTTCGGATTGGATATCATTCCCACAATACGGGTGTCATATATCTTTGTTTCATTAATGCCATAGATATATTCCTTGCATGTGTTCACAAATCATTCATAACGTATCACAACATCTCATTCAATAGTCAATAATCCTCTACGTACAAATCAACATTTTCACGTCGTTGGTTTTGAATAACATTCAAATAGTGCTTGTAAATCTGTGTGAGATGGCTTCATCATATCTCTTAACTGCTGCGTTAGTTCGGAATTGAGAATAACGAATGGCAATGCGAGAATACTGCCTTCCATAGAAGAATTTCACTACTTTTTGGAGATATTCACCGTGCAGCGATATTCTTTCAGAGCAAGTTTAGCGGGTGAACAGTGTTGTTGGAAGAGAGATCTTTCGGACGCAGAAAATTGTGTAGTTTAGGATCGGAATCGTTTTAATTTTTACAAGAACATTTGAGGAAATTTACTACCCATCCTCCTCCGAGTTGCTCAGTTCAGTTACTCATCACGTTTTTGATCTATCTCATCAATCAATTCAACTCCCTTGGACGGGTCATCGTAATCCAGCTCAAAATCTAGTTCCCTTAAAAAACATCTGTTTTGATACGAATGCTACCATCCTTAAAAAATATCGACGTATGATGAAATAGGCACGAACGCACCCATCCACATTTACAAGTTATGGCCAGTCTCTCGCCTCATCCGTTTTCGTTCCATTTCATCTCGTCTTCATATCCCTAGCCATAAGCTCAAAGACCCGATTTCGAAATGCATGTGCTGTGTTGTCGTGTGCTTCGTTCTCACGCTTCTCGCTTCCTTGCATTCCTCAATAATATCGTCTGATATCCATCCATCCCGCTATCCGCAGATTACATTCGTTCCGTTATTCCCTTTCTCAAAACGTCAATTGATTATTCGTTTATCTGTTCATTCAGATAATCCATACTCCTACAGTTACTATTCTCTTATCGTTCATATACCGCTTTATTCATAATCATTCGTTTGTCTAATAATAGTAACCTCGTTTGCAATATTTCGTCACTTATCTCACAAGATCTTGATATGGCACTGGTTGTTTTTAAGACACTGATCATTGTCAAGTGATAAATAAACGAACAGTAAATTTTCAAGTGCATATGATAAACACTGTCGTCAGAATATTTTTTCGTAAGCAGTGTTGTTGTTCATCACTGATTCGAATGTTGAAACACGGATCATTTTCAGAAGTCGGGATTTGCAAAGTGTTCTATATTCACGGCAGAATGGATCGATACCATAGCGACAGCCATAGTGAAGGAGCTGTTTCGAAGAGCAGTACATTATCAACTGTGAAGTTGGATAGTTCAGATGAAGATGATAAGATCGATTGTGTATCGAATGTCACCTCGTCGAGACGACAAAGGAGCACAAACCCTGAACACGAACCCAATAAATGCAGTCTTTTGCCCGTAAACTCATCCGGACGCCAGTGCGTCTACTATTGTTGTTTTGAACCAACCAGTAGCATCAGACAAGTGTCAATGAAATTAGCCTCGTGCGCTCGGTCAAGGTCCAGGTCAAGGTCCAAATCTTGTCCATCTTCAGATGCAATGGTGCAGTCATGGAATAATGCCTCTGAATCGACTGATTTCAAAATCAATTCGAACGATCCATTAGGATGTCTCAAGCAACAGCAACACAAACATTGTTCAATAAGCCAATTCGACGAAAGTGCTCCCCGAAGCAACGCAAATATGGAAATACGATTGAGTTTATTGGAAATGAAAGTAGACAAACTTGTGGCTCAAATTTCTCAACTTTGTCACAATAAATAGAGAATGTTGAGTGATGTTTACGTGTTGCTTACTATTATAATTCTTATAAATTTTGCTCTGAATATCAAGGCTTCGCTTGAAACTGGATGTGCTTCGTCGGTGTATCGGATTTTGCTGATTAATATGTAGTTGGTTCATTTGTTTTGTATCGTATTCACACTGATAAGCTTATTCTATGATATGTTCATTTTCACGTTATCCACATCCACTCGTATCACCATTCTTAACTGCAATTCAATTTCTTAAATGTATTGAACACTTTGATGAGATGTGCTATTACTCACTGATGATATTAGTGAATTATTTGTGCACATTTTAGGATAGTTGTTGCTTTCACTTCATAAGTGTAAGTTACAATGCCTTAATATGCATCTCACTTGTACAGCGCTGTATGCATTCAGTTCGCTGAGTTGCATATTAGTGGAAAAACTGAAAGCGCATACAGATCACTCAGTTCATTGCAGAGCATTGTATATGCTTTAGCTGTTAAAATTTGTAACTATGTACATTGGTGATTGTTTGATAGTTTCGATTTATGAGTTTTGTTGCGTGCGGATAAATATTATATATCAGTGACATTGGATGATTCTACTGAATAGGAAGGGCATGCTCGGGTTCGTGCGCGGTTCGCAACCTTCAGCATATAGCTGCAATTGTTCAATCGGGGCGTCCCACTTTGCCTGTTACGCGCCCATTGCACAGCTGTAGATCGAATTGGCTTGGATTTTGAGACGTAAGATCTGAGCTTGATCTGAGGATCGTTATCCATCGGATCTGAGACTTATTCATTGGTAGAGGAAGGGGCTGATTATGCCGGACCGAATTTCAGGCAATTTGTTTGAAAGGGTTATTATCAAGATAAATAGATGATATTACGAATGGTCTTATGCAAATTGCTAAATTTGGAGTTTAATGCTATGAATGGAATTGTAATCAAACTCTGCACCCGCTTAAAAAATTTGAATTGGTTGTTTTCATCTGCACAAGTGCTGAATGAATATTTGAGAAAGTTTTAACACTTCCTTAAATTTCAGTTCTAATTGAAAACGCTGAGAAGTGCAATAATCTTTTTTGATCTTTCAATTCTTTACTTTTGATCTGTTTTCTGTGGTCAACGCGACTGGTTGTTCAGTTCAATTTTGCACTTTCATATCAGTGTTGAGTGCTGTTGAGTAACATGATGTCTGACATTAACTGCAATTCGTGAGTGTTAATTGGTTGGAGTAATTTGAATAGGTGAAGAATTCGTCAGTCAGTTGGTGTGAATTTGATTTGTTGGGGTGGTTGAATCTGGTGGTGCTGAAGTCGGATCAAATTGCGCGACGTGAATCTTCCTTACCGTGGTTGGTGGCTATGTTGAGAGGTCGTAAGAAGACTGCAGCAACTAATGCTGAAGATGCAGTTGCAGTTAATAAGGTACTCCTCCATTCATAATATCATATTTTCTGTCTTTTGATATTACTTTTCGATGGATTCGATAAAGTTTAACGGATCACTTCAAGATTGTGCCTGAAACCACTGTTGTTGTGTTGTCTCATAATCAGCATTTGAAAATTACAAGCTGCGAGATAATTTCGTGTTCATAATTTCAGCCTGCTACACGAACAGGTGGATTGGCAACTCGTTCATCGAATGTAACGATTCCTTCAACAGCTGCATTCGAATCCCTCCCTCAAAAAACGCATCACCCTCAGCGTACCAACGCCGCACTTCACGACCATAGAAATGTCGGTGTCAACGAAAACAAAAATGTCGCCAAAGTTCAAAAGGTTTCGTGTCTTCCTGGAAGTTCGATCAATCTGCCATTAACTTTTGCTATTCATTAGAAAGAACGTGTAAGCAGAATTTATTCGGTGATGAGTCTTCAGGTGTTGCAAACGAAGGAGGACGCGAAGAAACAAAAACAGAGTAATTTGGCGGCTGCGGAAAAAATCGAGAAGCAACACGAATCCGAATCGAAGACGACGGCGTGGAGTGCGGCAAGATTCGACGATGTCGTTTTGCGTTGTAATATTTATGCAGATGACATCTACGACTATATTTTCCATGCCGAGAAGAAACACGGAGTTCCACCTGCATTCTTGTGTGGTCATACGGTGAGTTGGATTATTCTTTTTGTAACGTAGGTTATCGAGGACTTATGGAATTTTTATGAATTCGTTAAGGAAATTGTTCGTTCGTTGTAATTGTTCCGTTTTCAGGTGACTCCAAAGATGCGTTCCATATTGGTCGATTGGCTTCTTCAAGTGCACATCAGGTTCCATCTTCTACCAGAGACAATATTCGCCACAATTAATATTTTGGATCGTTATTTGGCTGTTGGAGACGCCGATAAGGTTAGCATAGCAAGTTCTCTACAGTTCCGCATTTATTCGATGAGATGGCTATCATCTGGTAGTGGCTAGTTGGAGTAAATGCCCATTCGATGATAGATTCTCTGATGATTCGTTTTGATTTTATCACTTCAAGTATTCAATTTCAGTCCAATTTACAACTGATCGGCATAACTTGCATGTCAATCGCGTCAAAATACGAGGAAGTGTATGCGCCAGAAATGCAAGATTACGTCTATATTACAGAGAATTCGTACAGCAAACATGATATTGTCTTAATGGAAATGAAGGTTAATGTTGTTCATTTTGTGCGATTGATTGTCTGAGGCCGTGTCTTTGATTCTGATAATTGAGGTGTTCAGATTTTGTCAAAAATCGGCGTCGACTTGGGTCGTCCGCATGTGATTCAATTTCTGCGACGTATCAGTTGTTACTTCGATGCAGTTTTGCATTCGATGGCGAAGTATATATGCGAGAATGCAGTTTTCGACTATACGACATGCCATCTGAAGCCATCCTTCATCGCTGCCATTTCGTTGTGGCTGGCTAGTCGACTAGAAGATCGTGAATTGCCTGATGACATCTTTGCTATTGCCAGGTTACTTGTTGATTCAGTTTGCATCTGTGTTATTTGATTTGAATGAAAGAAATTATGTATTTAGCGTGTTGCAAGTCGTGATAAGTATTAACATTATTTGAAATTGATCTTCAGAGTGAGCGAAGAAGAGATTCAAGAGTGGAGTGCGGTGTTTGCGACGAGCCTGCTGAAGACACACACCAACACCAAACTGACTGCACTCAAGAACAAATACTCAAACTCAAAGTTTTCACGCGTCTCTGATCTCTTACCGAATCAAGTGTCAATTTTACAGAAAATTGCAGCTAATCGGTCTTGATCGCGATGGTATTCACAACATCAAGAATACCTCTAGGAGTCATATATCTGCTTTGTTTTGTTTACTGATTCTGATGCAATACACTGTAATTTTATGCACTTTTGATATTCTGTAATCATCCTCTTCCATGTGCTCGATTTCGTTTCATTCTTTTGTCTTTTGTTTCACTCTTATAGTTGGATGAATCCCAAGGGATCGTTTCGTGATTATCATTGCTATTGTCATCATTACGATCTATCAGGTAGTAGTGCGCTCTCATGTTGTTCACTTTACATCTTCGTTTAATTTTTGTGTAATATAATTGTTGGAATATCATAGACCACCAATCTATGAATTATCGTTTGAAGATCGTGTGTATCCACTATTTAAGGCGTGAATTTATATTTGGGGAATATGGAAGTTGACAGCAAAACATTCCCTCGCAATCATCAAAAAACACTAATCGTAATGCGGTGTTTCTGAGGGAAGAAACTGTTAGAGGAAAGATGTTTCACTGTAATTTGCTCCATTTTTGATGCAGAATTCTTGAATAACAAGTGAGTAGATTGATAGTCATCACTCGAATAGCCGTGATAGTTTTCAGTTGAGTTGTTTATCGGAAAAAGTGTAGGTTTAGAGATTGGTTTTGAGGTGTTCTAGCTGACTTGATTTAGTTTTGAGTTGTTCTTTGTTGATATTTGCAGTGTTCTCTACCATATTTATATTTGATTGTGTATTTTGTAATTGATATGTTTGAATGTATTTTATCAGGGGAAACTGAAAGTTGTGTTCTTTTTGAGAATGTATGTATGCTTTATGGTGTTGCATTGATTGCTTTACTACTTCGTTAATCAGTTCATGGAGTGTATTGTTTGGTGGATTAATTGACTAATGGATGGATTTGTTATGCACTCATTATGACTCCGATACCGTTACCTTTTGTCATTAATCTCATCGATTTTTCATTCCTTCTCATTTTGATGTAATGTTTTTAATGCATTTATAGTGTAGATGATCATCACCCTCATCACTTCGTTCTGGACGACTCGACTCTGTTTTAAGACGGAACGGATTTGAACGCAATCGAAATGAACGAATCAATCATTGTGACTCGCAGTGTAGAATTATGTTGTCGTTTGATAGGTGTTTTGTGTGTGCGTATGTACGTGTGTGAATTTTGCTTGATTTGGTGTGATTGATTGCATGACGATATTCATCGAAACACGACGTTTTTTGCTTAACGCTCAAGTCGTTTCACGCATTATTGATTTTGTTTTGCTCATTGATTTATTTGCTCTTGTTATCAGTTCAGCACTGCCCATTGTTAAAATCACTATTTTCTGAATGCCTCTTAATAGGATGCCTCTTCTAAGCTTTTCATTGATAGGCCATGTCTTGCTCTTCCAGATACATCACATGCATCGCATTCCGCCTAAATTGTATCTGTCTATATTATATTCATATCAGTGACCTGTTGAATCGTACCGTCATACAGTTTTGTACATTCATTGTGGTAGCGTTGACAATACTCGTATCTACTGATAAATGCAATTGATGAATGTTATGTGTGTTTGTGATGTGGACAAATCATTCGCGGTTTTACTTGATGCGTTTGACTTGTATGTTAAAACAATCAATTCATATTTGCTCGGTTCTTCTGGATAGATGAAAAAGGTGTGAAGTTTTTGATTTTCGACTGAAGATGGCAACTAGAGAAGAGCAAGAGCAGCGTACGGATGGTGTTTACAAATGGCTGGGTAAGGAGCTGAGGCTGGAGTTAAGCGATGGTCGGATTATCGAGGGGAAATTTGTTTGCACTGATAATGTACCGAATATTATTCTTAGTGGTTGTAAGGTTGGTTGCTTGGTTCACTCACTGGATGGTTCCCAAGAGTCAGATCTAATCCTAGTTTGGATTTGAGGAGAACTGGAAAGGAGAGGAGGATATTCGAAATGTGGGGTTAGCGATGGTCACTGGCAAGCACATCAAGTCGATACATCTGATCTCGTCGTGATCGAACGCCGTTTCATGATCCATCCATGCAATTTGTACATTGACTTACACGCTTGTAGTAAAATAAATCTGTTTTGCGTCTTGTTGCTGAGTATCTCTTATTCATTGTTTCGGTCGAACGAGACGATTCGTTTTTCTGCAAAAGAACATCTTTTTATTTGTTACTCTTTGGATTGTATTTGTTTGAATTTTGATTATTTGTTGGCTTTGATAAAAAGTGATTTTTTGCTGATGTCTGAAGTGACATCTTAATCGATAAAGTTGATAGTAAGTTGAGTCGTTCGTGTTGCTGCATCTCACTATTAGTTACGGTTGTTAGGCGTAAGTGTTTACGGTGCTTATCTTCTGAATCGTTTCAGTCTATTTTGAAGCATCATCTGCATGCATCACTTATGCACACAAATTCCTCCCATATTGTTCACCAGCATTAAATGAAAGTTGTTCCGAAGTGATGTCATTTTCTCTTCAACAGTGTCTTCTGCCTTTGACCTATTTGATTGCTTGCGATGGTCTTTGACCTATTTTAACCCAATCGTCTTCTTACCTGCGCGGTAGTCTTTTCAACAGATAGTTGGGTGACTTATGTCGTCTGGTGTGTGCAAGTCAAAAATGATTGCATGTTACGTGACTCGTTTCCGTGCATGAGCAAAACTCCGTCACGTATCACAGCGAATATTCTTCGTTCACTGTTCATTCGACTCATTGCTTGCCAATAAACTTGCATTACACGCAGCCAGGGGTCAACCGTGTGCATTTTTTCTGAGGATCACAAGAACAAATCGGTCTTTAACTGATTTGTGTAAGACGAACACGTGTATGCATCCGTCTGAGTGCATTCAACAGTTCATTCATTCATCCAATTATAATAACACCACCTTATACACTGTTACATTCAATGTTACTGCTACTTCCTACCTCTCTCATGCATCGCCACTGTTTTCATGCAGTTAGTACACTGAACGTTTAATACTTTTACAACGTCACAAGTTCAATATCACCATTGTGTCAATCCCTCTACTTCGTTACATGAATCGTTCATAATCTCAAGATTCATAAGTCGATACATGTGCTTCACTTCGGTATTGCACCGTATTCTCGGTTGATTTATATTCTATGTGCTGATGTCAGAAATTTTGATTGTCGTTGTGGTTATGATCGTGGATAGAGCGCTCACCATTTAAAGATGTGGGCTTGTTTTTAAAGGCCGTCAGATTTCAGATGAACAATATAATTTCGATGCTCATTATCTTTCACATCATTAGTATTGTGCCTTCATTTGCGTTTACTCATTGGATGGTCACAGAAGATGGTCTGAGTATTCAATATGTGGTAAGTAGTTGCTCTCATTGATTACATCGTTTATTTATTCGTGTAGCTGATGATGACATGATGTTTCAGTCAGATTCTCCGTTCATCATGAAACAGCCACATTCATTGGTACAGTTTTTGGATCAAGAACGTAAATTGGACGCGATATCGCACCATCGACGGCTCTTCTCCGAACATGAGGCATGTCTTTGTGATGCACTCTCCAATGATTACAACAAGAGAATGAAGACACTTAATTGATTCAGAAAGTGATCCGTGAGCAAGAGCAAGCCGATGACCCGGAAATCGAAAATAAGATCCGCTCGAGTGATATGGATTGCCTGACGGCTGGGAGCTTCGCGAACAATCGCGATCCTTACCTCGTTTCGTACACCGTCTTCGATCCACTCGAAGAGTTGCTTGCTTTTATCATTTGCTTTGCTATTATTTGTTCTATTTATTCCTTCACATAACTATTAATTCAGCTTGGAATATATGATTGGATTAGTGCGGGATGTGAATGAGGATATAACACATGAAATTCCGTATTGTACGTCGGATTTGCCGTTTAGTATGTATGCTTTCGAACATCTTTCTGTGAGTTTTGTTTCATTCATTAATCTGAGTATTTGTTGTTTTGGTGAGAGTTTGTGTTTGGATGGATTGGGGATATAAATGTGTGATGTGTTGAAGGGAATGCAGCAACGTGATTCGCTGTCATCGCCGTACGAATACGAACTGCAGAAAGCGTTACCTTCAAGATTTCGCATCGTCGATTTTGCACATTACGTTGCTGTCACGTTGAAGAAGGTTGTTATACTCTCGTTTTGCCTGGGCATTTGTTTGCTTGAAACGATGGATACGCATCGGATCAGAATTGATTGAGTTATCATTTTGTTTTATTCTAGGAGCCGATGAGCGCACCGTTATTGAATTTAGCAGCGCTTTATTGGCGAATAAAAGGCGATGCTAAGAATGCAATCGAATGTCTGAGACGATCACTTCACTATTCAACGCAGTTAGTGTGCATGTCTTTTGATTGTGCATTTGGTACATTTAAAATTTGGGGTTTTATGCATTTGTTCGTTTGATATTGGATGGTGCATAAGTGAAACGCTCGAAAAATTAATTTTTTTGCAGTGACAAACGAGCTCGAGCGATGGTCGCATTAGGCAATTTGCTGCATCGAGCCGGGCATTCTTCGGACGCTGTTATTCTTTATCAGGTATGGTGCATTATGTATTTATTTTGAATGCTCATGAAAATTTCTAGTCACCTCCTCAGCGGACATTAATAGTCTTAATGTGATTGCAGTTGGTGATGAATGAAGTGAAGAATGCGAATTTGCATATGGCAATGGGCGATGCATTGACAGTGATTCAGAATCGTACTGAGGCAATCGTAGAGTACGAGCAGGCATTAGCGATCGATGCGAGTCTCGAGAGTGCATCGATTAAGGCAGCGGCTTTGAAATGCGATCTGAAGTTGATCGATGCCATGGAGAAACAACACAGGAATTTATTGAGTACAATTTCGGAGAAGACGAATTATAATAATAGGTGAATTGAGATTGATATAAGACGGGTCAATGAAATGAGATCGAGATGTGGAATGAATGGAGTGTTGCAGATTTGAGTTGGTGAAAATGTTGGAGGAGAACGTTCGCAGGAATGTGTTGGATACGGATGGTAAACTGCAATCTGCGTTGATCTATGAGTTCTTCACGTTCGGCACACTTCCGTACGTGACGTGTCGAACTGTGAAGCAACAAGACGATCGTTTGGGAATGCACTGTGGTGTTAGTGACTTGCGCAGGTATAGGACGATGATCAGCGAGAAGCATCTGAAGATGTTCGACGCTGCACGACGAAGTGCTATGCTTATCAATGAAACATCGCATTGGTATGATGGCGATACGGGTTTAGTGCAAGAAGAAGACGACGACAAGGAACTGACTGAATTCTTAACGGGTTTAGAGCCATTCAAAGGCATGGATTGGGATGAACCCACCGAAGAGCGCATGTACCCACGCAAAATGTGAGTATCACTTCGGGAATTGATCTTTAAAATTTTTTGGATGAATTGGTGCTTTTAAATAATGAACAGTTATTGTCGAAGACATGCAAATAAGCTGGGATTGCAGTGAAAGTTCGATGAGTAAGTTGTTGGAACGGTATTTGAGTGGTGAATGGCCAAACAAGACGTTGTGTGAGGCGAATCGATGGCATTACTCGATGCCATCTGCTGATAATTTACCGCAATTGTTCATGAGCCCTGAAAATAAAGGATTTTGGTTCGTCATAATGTTCATTTTCTTCAAGTGTTATTTTATTGTTCATTCGACCTCTCAATGAATCAATTCAAAACTGAATAATCCCACCCGCCATGTTTCACTAAGTCAGTTTCAGTGTATCAGATCTGCTGAACAAGTATCTTGGCTTATCACCGCACAAGCAGCATCCATTGCCATGGGCACTGCCTCGATGTGATAGCTTCATTCGGGATGAACCGCTATCGTCAATGTTCAAACTGCCCGGCGTTGTGCACGCTGCATCTCGACGCCGTTCAATCAGATTCGCCGAGGAGAGACTCCGATCGACGTTCGTCAGTCTGGTCGGCACCCGTGCCACACAAGCCGACGTCGCGCAACGTATCAAAACACTTCTCACCTACAACATCGGTCCCAAGTGGATCGCACTGAACCTGGCCGCACTCTATTGGCGTGTTGTTGGTGTCCCACACGAAGCGATCGAGTGTCTTCGAGCTGCATTACACTTCCAACCGGAACGTCACGCAGATGTGGCGTTGACACAGCTGGCGCAGTTGGTGATACGAACAGCGTCGGAACGAGAGCATTTGAGAGATGCAGTGGCCTTGTTGAATACGGCAATTCACGTCGATCCGAATGAACCGTTGACGCACTTCTTGAATGGCTTAATCGAGATTCTGCAAGGCAATAACGCACTTGCAATGGCTTATATTCGTGCTGCAGTCATACTCGACCCACTCTTCCAGCCAGCCGTTGACGTATTGCACACACTCAAGTGTGCATCAAAGGTTTTATTTTTTTGTGGGGAGTATTGAGTTGAGTTGGCTCGTGGTCTACTTGTATATATTTGAGGATGAGAACAAGCTATCGTCGGGTGTGCGAGTTGAAGTGCGATGTTGCTCACGTTCAGAGCCGAATATCTTTTGCATTGTTGCATCTGGTGAATGTTTTAAAGCACATCAACATGGCGCTTATGAAGCCGTTCTTTGTGCTTCAGCAAATGATAATGCGGTAATTATCTTTGTTATTAATTCATTTGAAGACGATGATAATAGCTTTCTGTCTTCTTTCAGAATATTTGTAAACGAGCCAGCCCTGCTGTAGCGTTCATCGCATCCGCATTAGTTCCGTCCAACGTGCAAGGTTACACTTGATTGTTGTTGTTTGTACACTTTTTACAGATTTCATTTTGTTCATTTACAGTTGATGATTGAAGTTATTAGGGTATTGTTGTTTGAGAAAATGACTTGTTCTAGATGTACGAGAGTTGGATGAAGTGGAGGTACACGATCATGAGAGTGCGGCGGATAGATTCGATGAGTTACATATTGATACGTCCGATGAGGTGCGCTATTTGACCTCATCCTCTGGCGATACAATATTTGCTTATTTAGCAATTCGATCGATTCACTGCATTGAAAGCAAATGACATTCATCAATTGATCCTGAACTTGTTTAGTTATTTATTTTAATGAATTCACTTCAGATAGCACTGGATTATGGCGCAGATCAATCGTTGAAAAAGATTCGTGAACAATTTCAGCCTTCGATCACTTCGATGAGTCAAACGCAAGTAATGATTTATCTGATTTGTTGACATTTTGCAGTGGCAGTTCTTCATTGGGTACAGAGGGCAGTCGAGCTGTTGCAGGTGCTTTATGCTGGTGCAAGACGTGTAATCGCTCAACAGACTGACGAAGAAGTTTGGCAGGAAGAAGTTCTCGTACGCATTGTGCCTTTTCCCGAGGTTATTTTCGTTCATTTGGTGTTCGCATTTTGTAACTTTCAATTATTTTTCCGTTATATTAAGAAAATTTAAAATATTCTCAATTTATTGCAGAATGCTTTATCGTTATCACAAATGTCCGATCGTCGTCAGATGCTCGCATACGATATTGAACTTCCCGAGGTAGGAACTGATTGATCAGTGCCGAAACTTTGTCATTTTCTGATAGCTCAAAGAAGATGTTAGCTTTAAGATTACCATTTTTTAGGTATTGCCTTTGCCGTTGAAAGAACAAATCAAACTAGGTCTTCAATACTTCCCACCCGCAAAAACGTCAGATCCGAATTTTTGTAGCAATGTCAAAATGGTCAGTCAAGTTTCTTTTCTATAGACTTTGTTGTTTGCAAGTGTAGAAGAAAAAGATTTGCGAGTTTTTCTGATTATTTTTTATTGGGTGTTTGTTCGAGGATGGTTTATGAATGGCCGATTGGATGGGGTGGTGTTTTTGCAGAGCATATCAATGCTGCATGAACAAACCACATCGACGTGGGTATCAGTGACTGCAAAGGGCGTTGGACTTGAGCAGTACATGGATCTGAGTAATCCAGCTCCGGAAATCGCTGGATTCGAGCCGAACTGTCCAGATCTGGATAAACCGTCACCGTTGCGAACGTTCGACCATCTGCCCGCTTATCATCTGCGTGAACAGTTCATCTTTTACAAACCCGAAAAAGCACTTACCGACGTAAGTGATTGATGGTTATGGTGTCGAATCTAATGAGTACTGCTCTTGAAGGCGTTTCAAAGTTTGGGCAATGAAAGGGAACGAATCGAACATGTTGCTGGTCGATTGATGATCGCCATGAAGGTGTCGAAGTTAACACCGAACCTGAGCAGTGAGTGATGCTTATTGATCTAGTTGTCTGCTTAAGATACTATTTGTTAACAATCACTTCAGAGGATCAAGACGGCGGTGTTCATTGGACGTTGTCTACAGCATCGACGCTGTATTGGCGAGTGAAGGGCGATGCGGTGAATGCTCTGAAGTGCTTGAGACATTCTCTGAACAACGCTCCTTCCGATATGAAGGTTCGATTCATCTCTGTTGCGTTTGCTGATGGAAGAAGTGCAATTTGATTTGATTTAGGATGTTGCTTTGGTGAGTATGGCGAATATATACCATCAAGCGGGTCTTTTACACAGCGCGCTGATCGCCGGAGGAGCGGCATTAGGCATATCACCGAAACTCGTGGCCATTCACTTCACACTGGCCAATATCTACGCAACCATGGTCGGTTTCNCTTTGATTTTCAGGGCGATTATGAGCATGCTTTACAGTTCTATTATTCAACACTGTCGTTACAGTCCAACTTCAAACCTGCCAAAGAGCGTATTCGAGCAATTTATTGTCACACGGGGAACAGCTCCCCTTTTCAGTGAAACTTGTACCGTGATTTTGGTCTGCGTGGATAAAGGAGAAGAAATGATCGTTGAGATATTCGGTTGATCTCGTGGCGGAGAGGAAAATTATTTCGTATGTATAGTATATGATCAACTGTGATATTGAGTGCTTATCATGAAATATACGTGTATTGTTGTGTAGATGAATGTTGTTTGCTCACCCTTTGAAACATTTATTGTTATTGTCATTACTTCACTAATGATTAGTACCTTTCGCTAGTGAATTCAATTCATTTTGTTTTGCATTGCATTTGGAGATGTATTCGAGTGGAATTTGCTGTGCCATTCTTATGGTGAATGTATGTTTTTATATGTTAAAATATTCACTCTCATATTCTGTTTTGATCGTGAACACTTTCAATCATTATGTGCTGATATGTTGGGTGATTTAGTGGCGGGTCGTTGCGTTAGAAAGAGATTTGTTCAGATCTTTAGGCAACACCTATATCACGATTTCCGGTTACTGCAAATGTTTATTATATACACAGATAATGCAATTCATATTGTTTTGTCGCAGTTGAACATTCGTTGGTAACAGGTGATAACAACAGCGTAAATAAGAGTCTGTTTTTGAGTGGTTGTCTAATTTGAAGTTTTAACGTCGGAAAACGTCGTAGTGGAGTTTGTGACAGGGCTGGTGCGCGTATTGTCGTCGGAGACTGTTTCCATCGAGGTGGTAGTGGCCTCGGTTGTTTGCGTGTTCGTGTTCGGTGCTGTTGAGCCACGTTCTGTAGACTCGGTAGCAACACTGGATAATTCACTTTTATTGTCGTCTTCCTTCGCTACACGTTCACGTTTGCATGCTTTGCGTTTCGTATCATTATCCCCTTTCGGTATACCTTCACGTTGTGTCTTCTCGCTGATTTCGGGAAACTCTTCTCGCATACGCTAAAAGCAGTTGATTTAGTGCTTTTGGAATGAATGCTGGAGAGAATTTGAAATGTTACACAAACCTTAATGAAGAGATCCATCGATTCCTTCTCTTCAGCTGCATCAAGATCTGCTTTTTTACTCAGTTCAATGGTGATGCTTGTTTGTGATGCCTTTCGTTTCGTTTGCGACATAAGCGTTTCCTTACTCAGCGAATGATATAGTCTGTCGAGCTTCTGCAACCATTTCAGTTTCACAATATACCACGAGGAGATAAGATGGATGGTATCCAATTTGCGAGGTGAGAGTGCCTTCACCTATGGGTATGGTGAGGGCATGAGTATGATAGGTTTCGAGATAGACGAAAACAAAATTACCTGTACAATGATATCGTCGAGATCTTCATTCATTTCTTGACTTCCGCTTGATTTTTTATTATGATTTCGGGAGGACGGTCGTCTTTTTAGGTAGAAAAATATGCAAAACGCTCCAACAATTGCCATCGCGAATATAACAACTATCGCAATAGCGATCATCGCAAATTGTAGCGGTGTCATCCGCTTCTCTTAAATTTTAATTGCTTTCTTATGTGTTTCTGAATGAGCATGTCGAGACTCAGCCGTTTGACGCAGAAAGTAGTGATGAAAAGACTTACGATAAGTTGACTCGTTTTGACTATCTGCAACTGCCTCAGAGAATTGCTTTTGCATTGTTTCTAAGGTTAGCGGTGCACTTTTTGGATGATTCTCGAGGTGACCATCCACCAGAGCTACCCGCTGGAAATCGATTGATTTATACAATTGAATTTGCACAATATTCAGTGGAGTATTCATTACGATCCAATCGATCAAGAATGTTAATTGAAGAGCGATTTAACCTCGGAAGACGGATCCGGTTCATCTGCTTTATTCATTCCAATTTTTTCAAATGTTCGTCCACAAATCTCTGATAGTGTATTGTCATCGACGACCGAAAATTTATCCGTGTTTCGGAAATAGTGCACCTTTTTTAGCAAGCACTTTTCAATTCATCGATCTGTCAACGAAATATCATTATCATCATGTTCAGAGCACTATTCATATTCATCGAATTCCCACTTTTACTTCGCAAAGTTCCAAAACTTTCCCCGCTGCAAATGCAATTATTTCGGAAAGAGGCGATGAAATCAGTATCAGTGAACCTATGTGACTTACAAGCTTCAAGTTCATCGCATGTAATTCAACCGTCTTAGATCCTCTAGTGTTATAATTCCTATTGAACGTCCATGCTACGAACACTGATAATAAATAACACGAATGCAATAATAACGACCGCACCTCTTACTAACTTCATTACAAAATAACGTTGCGATGCAATAGTCACTCTTGAAATAATTTCTCTTATGCTAATTTCAATTACGTTTTGATCAGAAACCGAAACGAGCGAACAACTCTGTCGTTTTTCTTCATATCACTCGTTGCAAGGCGCATCTGATTGTGGGAGTGCCATATCAATCCCCGTATGCCTCAGTAGACAGGAAACGCATTTTCGTCACAATCTCAGATGAGAGGTGTGTAGATTAATGTAAAGACTGGAAATAAAACACACTGAATTTGTTGTTGATTTATTCATTTATTGCATTGATCATACAGTGCCGATTGCGTTTACATATTACTTTTTTACATAAGCATACGGATTGCAGTATTGGAATCAGTGTGAGTGAATTAGGTAATAGTATTCGAGAGATTATTCTGAGATTTGCTTGTGCCGATCGTTGCGTCGTGAGATATTCAAGCACTCATTGACAATTCAAATAGGCCCGCAGAGGGACTGGTTTGCCCACTGGTCGTCTCTGTTGAACGTCATATTTGTAAACGTGGCTGTTTGTGAATATTGTTATCTCATTACCATCCACTATTGCACCTGTAAATGCACTTGAATGAAGCTTTGCAATATCGTATTTTCAAGTCAAAGGTTGAATTGACGGTTGGTTCAGATGAAAAACTTTTAGCAATGCTATAGCTTTCGTTTGAAACTTCCTATTAACAATCAGTGACTTACCGCGAAGTGGTTGGTTGGGAAAATTTTCGAAATATTTGTAGATTTTGTCCTGAAATGTCGCCTTATTCCAATATTCATCGTAAACAGCAAAGTCATGAGCCTGCAAGGAAGATGCTTCGATTGGAATTAAAATGAGTGTCGGAATGTGAACGAATTGTAGAGAAAACTACGTACATTGACGAGGACTTGACGTCCATCAGCCCAAACAAACGCACCCATCGGACTGAAGTCTAACGTTGCCGGTAATCGTTTTGGGTAGTGCTGCTCTAAAGTGAATCCACCTTTTGAATGAGTGTACGCGTAAACCTGGGAATATCGATAAGTCAGAAGACATTATCAATCGGGAAAGGAATTGAATGAGATAGACTTCAGTGAATATATTAACCTGGCCATGTTGGAATAAAAGAGTTGTATGAGTTTTAGGTACGGTTAGTGCTGCTTGAACATAGGGAGGACTCTTGGGGAAGAGTTGCTTCAGAGAGTAGACCTTGACGACATGATCTTTCGAGATCTTGTACACTTTGCTGCCACTGAACAGGTATTCGGCACCATCAACTGCAACTTTTAATATCGATGAGCGAGTGTCGAAGAAGGGGTTCGCTTGGAGACTCTCACCGGTCGTGATGCCATCCACATCTTGTGGACACGATGGCTCGTCACTGCTTTCATCAGCATCATCTGTATCCAAGATCAGCACATCAGAGTCGCTCGAACGCCACCCGGAATCTTCTGGCTGTCCTCCAGCACTCCCTGAAGTCACTTCATCGTAACCGAATCCGAAGAAACTCTTGATGCGATCAAAAAATCCTCCGTCACCTGAAACGTCTCTGCTCGTTGGGTGAATGAAGCTTGACCAAACTCAAGGCAAATCGCATGTTCAGAAATGAAACTGCTTAAGAAATCTGAAAATTTGGAAAATGCCCGGCAACACAGAATGCAACATGATGTGAAGTGACCGTGACTCGAGGATCCTCTTGAACCATCGAACGACGGCGGTCTGGTTGGTTGACTTGTCGGCACGAAAGTGCCATCAGGTTTCAGTGCAGGAGGTGAGCCAATTCTTGGACCTAGAAAATTTCACACCTTCAACTGTAGTTCTCCGAGAAATCAGAATCGTTGACACGTTCGAAGTAACGCTCGAAATAATATTTCGCATCTAAAAGACTGTNGTTCCTTTAGCAATTCCAGATCAACGATTAATGTGTTTGCAACATACCGTAAATCTCTTGAATCTTCGTGATATCATCAGTGGTCAATCGAGGCATTTTATAGCGGCCGTAAGCGTCAACAGTTTCTTGGTAGAACGGTGCCATGATCGCGTTTTCATCCCTCGAATGATCCAATCCAAGGGTATGTCCAGACTCGTGGATTGCAACACTCAACAGATCCGTATAGCCATATCTACAATGTCTTTTACGATAGAAACTATCTGATTATTGCATCAATTGAAGATACTTGCATTGCATTTGTCCGTCAATCATTAATTGTGAATTCATCGATCAAATCGCTCATCAGTCCACTAACTCAACGATCAAATAAAAGTGTTGCTTGCAAACAAACCGCGATATTCTGTCCGCATCCATCAACACCCAATTTTCATCTTCGTCGAAATGCAGCATTCCGTTCGGTGGCATTGTAGCATGAGCGAGCACGCCACCTTAATTCTCGTTCATCATCTCTTTTTAGTCTCAACTCCAAAAATTCCAGTAGAGCATTGCAAGCTCATTCGCTCAGATCCCCCAATAAATCTCTGTCTGATTTCATTTGCTCATAAACAGATTCACTTGAAAAACCCTTGAGCACCGTTGGATGTNTTGTTGTTTTGAATCATTCCGAGAAATACTTCCGTTTCAAATGATTTAATTTCCTGAATAGTTTATTTCAAAAGAAATTTTGTTTGCATCAAAAAGTGAAGAATAAACCGAATATCGTTGTGAGGTAGATCGTTGGAGTACGACTGAATTGAATAGGTCAAATCATTTTTGTGCCATTTGAAGTGAGATCCTGCAATAGACGATCGATAGATTCGTTTCGACTATTATGAGGCTCAAAATTGATGAATAGGTTCGAGAAAAGGAATGAAAGAATCATTTTCATTTGAAGAACGTTAAAGGGAAAACGAATATTATCGGAATGGTTGATTGCGTGACAACTTATTGAGGAATATTCTATGCTGAGTGGAGAGTGAACTGGACTCTGATGAACAGACCTCGTCCTCGTGCTCGTCCCCAAGAGATAGCCGCTACATCAGGAACACCGCACCGAGGCTGAGCCATCTTCTCTCTCGTCTCATCGTCCAACTCACCGGTTTGTCGTAATCCAGCGAATTCTTGGAATTTTCTGTGCAAATGCAAATCAAATTATATTGTGACAGCATTTGTCAACAAGTTCAGTTATCTGCTGTGAATACAAGTTGAATTTATTCGTAACACCAAAATTAGAGAGTCCTTACATCAGCGCGTCTTTCATCGTCGAATATCCCACGTCCCGGTCAAGACCCACACTTCCTGGTGGCACGGCCGCGAGTTGTACATTGCTTGTTGATACATAACCAAACTTGGTCAAATACTTCTGAACAATCGCTCGCTTGTTATCATGAAAACGTTTGCATCAAAGCAATAAGCTGTTTATATCTCAGTTGTCGTTGGTCTCATCATATTGATACTTCAACTTACTATCGTCGATCTTTCGTGTTGATGGTTCAGATATCTATCATATGGGCAGCATTCGTAAAAAAAAACACTTTTTTGATGGTTTATTGGATCAGTTGACCGATTGTTGATCAGACTCAACATTTTGAGAATATTAGTTGGATTGGCACGTTAGAAGTGCGTTTTGCCAGGCACTGATTAATTGACCATAGTAATAATAATTCTTTAAAATACTGATTCACTCACCTTTGCATCAGCGTCGGATATCGGTTTATGGGCATGTTGTTTTTTACAAATGCATTTTTGAATTGAGAGCAACTGTAGTAATAAGATTAAACAAATTTGAGTATGCTGATTGGAGCGCAATGCTGATATCATGTTATAGCAGCACGTCTGCAATAAGCTGCACTTTAAGCATGGCAAATTTGCATGAATGTTTACTTCAAACGAACACACTGCTGAGAAAGGGCTATAATTTTGGCTCAGCCTAAAACCTTTCACGATTCTATTGGGTGTTTAGCAAGAGGTAGTGGGTCTTAGTAAAGTATGCGATAGCCGAGTATAATATCACAGCAACACAATATTCTGCATGGACTCACACAAAAGTGCATACGCTAAAATGGGAATGAAACAAGGAAACTTCAAGAGCGGGTAATAAAAATGAGAGAATTGCGAGGAGGAGATGGGATGATAAATAGTGGATTGGTTATGTGTAAATGAGAATTGCAAACTTGAAATGATGATTGGAATATTGTGCGTTGGTCATTTGCATCGTTTTTATGAGTGAAATAAGTGCGTGATTCATTGGGGTGCAATGATTATTCATGTACATTAACAGAATATTAAACAATGCAATATGAAAAACGAATGGATTTTCGTATAAAAGTGATGATTCAAAATGCATTCGCGTTTTTTGGAAAAACATTTGACCCGAAAACGAACCGTTATTTCTTAAGCAAAATTTGTTTTCATGACAAGTAGAAATTGTTAATAATGATTGCTCGCATCAGAAAAATGTTGCAGAAGAAGCGAGAAAATGATCGATGGAGGGATGATTTTAAACAAATGCACAAGGCAAGCCTATGGCATGAGTTTGATCAAATTTTTGTTGAATTTCTCAGTTCTTCGAGCTGATACCACGATATTGGACTGAAGTTCGTAAATTATTAGGCAGTAATGAAACAGGGATAATCATTCAAAAAAGAACAACGTTAGTGCTGCAGTATGTGATGTGCTTGAAGTGAACGTTTACATTGATGTGAATCAACTGAAGAAGTCAGTTTATTTTACGAAGGAAACGAAAGAAGGAGTTGACATNAAATGAATACAGTCAAAATCGTATGATCTTAATGTATTTTCGGTCACAAAATTACCGAAACGGTATAAAAATGACTCATTAGCAGTATAAAAAATAGGAACCAAGAGGCCATTACTGAATATATTGCACTCTCATAAGATTTTCTTTTTCAACACTCTTTTTTTCACATCTAACAATGAGTGTTTTTGTTTATTTGGGGTGAGATTCCGTTGCGGTCTACTGAAACAAGCTCTTTATAATACTTTTAACGAATTTTGAAAGCGATCATCTCATAGATTGCATGAAACGATTGTAGCATATGAACTGAAAAAAATAAAAAGCGGAACGATTGCATGACACCACACGAAACTGCCTACTATCATAATTACCACATTCAAGGTCTCCAAACTAATCAGTCAAAAATTTACTTTGAAGATGTTTTTCAATATGCTTGAATTGCATACGATAAACTATTATCAAATGCACAGACAACCTTAAACACTCACAAATACATTTGTTACACCGTTCTGTCATCTTCATAACTTTCATAAACATAGTTCTTTGCATTTTCAGTTCATTATCCGGTTTTTCATCCATTGAACGTAATTGTATGACTCGACTCTAGTAGAGCACGTCTGCTATCGCGCACCCATACATAAACACATTGTAAAACACCACTGAGACGGTGAATTTACTCATCATTAAATTTTGATTAAATCATCGCCAGATGAAAAACCTCTCTCATAATTCACCAAAACAAACATAAAAATCAACAACTTAGCGAATAGAATGTTTTTTATTTTATCAATGCCTTCTTGTCAAAAGTACATCAATATGACAGACACTAACGAATGCATCATATAAATGTATCTCATTATCATTACGATTGCAATTTTATTTNTTGTCTTACCGCACTGATCGAACTACAACAAGCGCTGCCATAAGAACAACTATTCCGATCGAACGAGTGGAGAATGTACATTGCATAGCGAAGTTATATCTCGATTAGAATTCGTTCTGAGTTTGTAAGTTATTAGAGACGTCTCAAGAGATGATCAGTAATGTCATGAAATAATGCAAGGATCGATGCACAACACAACACACATCACAGCAGATCGCAGAACCAGTGAAAACGCATTCTGATACATCTCTGCAAAACATATTTTCTCATTTTCGTCAACACTCTTGCCATTATACCGTAATCTGCAATGACGCTCCGCTCTCGTTCATTGCTTATTTCAATAGTACTACTTAAAAGAGTTGCAACAACTTGCAAAAAATTCAGTTAGGCATCTGTTGAAGCTATGGAATGTGCGGTTACTTCGGAAACGAGTCAAGCTGAAAACTACGAATAGTTGATTCACAACAAAAGAGCTTATCAACTGTGCATGCTCATTCCTGATCGATCGACTGCTTTTATGCATCGATCCTTTGCTAAATATCATCCACCATTTCCCACTTGTCGATCATTCTTCGATTTTGCACATTTTCGTTTCACTGCTTTCACATTTTGCCGTCCTGATCACTGAACGAATACTTCCTATGATTTCATCCGCAACGTGATCATAAGTTCATCCGCGACGCGGTCACCACTCCGCCCTCCTTACTTCTTTGGCATAGTGCGTGCACACGGCATGGAAGTAACACCCACTAATGTATTTGTGTGAAAAGATTCACACAAATACCTTAATTTTCGGGTGTCCAAGTTTTAATTTGTGGGTATCACNACTGCCTTATTTTTATGAGTGTTGCAGTCGTGTATTATGAAAGTTTTGCGTTGATATGGTCGAATGTTTGAAGGGTCGATGACCGATGTGATCGGGTTGGTGGACGCGCTGGTGAAGGATTACTTATCGTTCCGTGGCTTAAACAATACACTGGCAAGTTTTGAGGCTGAGGTACGGCACGAACGTGACTGTAAATATAATGTTTCGAGGGTGATCGCTGAATTATTCAACGCTATCGAAAATTACGACATCGATCGGCTGCATTCATTATGGTCTTATTTCAACGTTAAACTCTTCTCGTCAGTTCCTTTCTCTTCACTAATCAATCGTTCGTTGCAGTTATAACGAATTGATTCTGTTAAGCACATTGTAATTTCAGCAATCTATCAGAAGATCAGAGGATGATGGCCACTCAGCTCGAAAACGATTTGTATCGGCTGTACGTGATCCAGTGTGTACAGCAGAAACAACCGCAGAAAAGTGTTGAGTTCTTCGAGAGGATGTGTGAACATTTAAGGAATAATCCAGAATGGAATGAATGGTTTGCGTTGCCGTACGTCAATGACGCCAAAGACAGTGCACCGTTCAAGAAATACTTCACCAAGCAGTGGCAGCATTGTTTTGTGGTTAGTTTTCACTTATTGAGATCACGCCTCCATCTTCAACTTTGAATTTTCACTGAATTCAGGTGTCGTTGAACAATTTTCTGGCAATAGCATTTGATAGTTTGGAAGTACCGTTATTGGTACGATGCGTGAATGATATTCTGAAAGGAACGTGCGAGTTAAACGATTCCGAGCTGAGTAGACGGCGATCGCAACCAGTATCGATCAGTGAAGAGATCATGGATGATTTCGCGATCATTGCACAAGGACCTGCGAAACGTAACACTTCGAAATCGTCACTCCGCAATTTACTCAAGAATTTTACTGGCAAAAAGGAAAAGGATTGACAGGAAAGTAGCAATTGATTGCCCAAAATGTATTATCCACTTTAACGATGTTCACTTATTCGTCATAGTTGTCGTATGCTGCGCGTTGTATTTAGTGCTAATAATACGTGATAAGCGATGCTGCGTGGTGATTCACCGAGATCTTATTGTGTGTCTGTATTGTTGTGTTTTTTGTTTTGTTTCACGTTTTACGTTGAATGGTCATTTCGCGATGTACATTTTGATTGATTGACTCTGAATAAAGACGATTTGTTCAGGTGATGAGCAGCTGCTTGATTTTATTGAGGCGAATATATTACTGCAATTGGTTATGTGCATACAGCAGGTCATCGTTGACTGCATGCAACCTCAAATACATGATTAATACGGGGCGGACGTTTGCCTCACTACCGACCACATCGAGAGACGAGAGCACTGAACTGGATCCGAGCAAATCCGAATATCTTCAGGTTTTGATTTGATTTTTGTTTGTGAATTGAGTTTCTGATCATTTTATCAGTTGGGTTATATTGTCGCAAAATTGTTTTTTCAGCCAATCGACATTGAAGATCTTCCTCGAGCGCAGAAAAGGTTTGCGAAGCAATTCGAAAAAGTGAATGAGGAGCGGGTTAAGGAAATATTTGCGAAGAATTACAAAGTGAACTTTCAACGTTTATTTTTTCTGCTTCCGTCTTTGTGTGTGTCGTTTTTGATTGTTGTCTTGAAAAGGTGCAATAGCTGCCATCTTACAGAACCAAATCGGAATGGCCGTTCTTTTGACAACAGTTATTGCGATTTATGTCTATACGATCAATGCGGTGAAACAAGAGACATTCCTCGAAGAAATCGATTCTGAAGTGGCTGAGGAATTGGCTCAAGCTGAAGCGCTCAAAAAGCAATCCGAGTGAATGAGAATCAAAATAATTGTAGTCATAATGATGATGAGGTATAATGTAATCGTTTGTGTCATATTGATGTATTTTATAGACGTGAAATAGATAATATAAAATCGCCGCAATCTGCTGTGACGTATGCATGTCACTTCCTCTATTATTGTGTAATGTTACTCATTTCGGTGGCATCATGTTTTAAAAAAGTTTATCATAACTTGTAAGCTGAAAAGGAATCCTGATAGAGATTTTAATTCATAACAAAATTTATGTTCAAAAAATTATGTATCGCTTTCAATGGCTTCAGTTTGTAAAGCGCCATACTCTTGTTGAAGAAACTCGCGGATCTGTTTCATTGAGAGTCGTTCGTCTGGGTCATCAGCGAAACAGTGCACACACATAACTCGTTGAATCACTTTCGGCATACATTCTGGTGCAGGCATGCGATAACCAGATTTTACCTGAATGTTTCAAAACAACTGTTCACTAAGAACAGATTGCAACAAGTCATGCAATTCACCAACGATACAATAGAGAATCGTGCAAGTGCAGTTGTTCAAGTCAAACATGCGACCACATAATCACTTGAACGTCAAAAATCGCTCGTCCTGACTGCTTGATTGATTAGCTGCCGTTACCTGTTCATTAACTTCTGCGATTGTCATACCAGAATACGGCTCTGCTGCATCCGTAAAGATTTCCCACAACAGAATTCCGTAGCTGAACACGTCCGATTTGGTTGTGTACGTAACGCTCATTAGTGTTTCTGGTGCTAGCCACCTGGAACCTTGCGCTCGATGAGAGGATGTAGCATCTTTCTGACATATCAGAGCTGCATGGTGAAGTGCAGGACGTACCGAACTAAGATCTTGCGAAAAAATTGGCAAAGTAATAATAAATCATTCTGGTGATGTACCTTATTGGAAGTTTTTGCTTCAAATTTTTCAGTCTATATTTTTCCGATTGACTCGCAATTTGTCGAGAAAGACCGAAGTCAGTCAACTTGATTCGTCTGTTTTTCACCAAACAGTTCCTGAAGCAGCAAACTGTCTGAGTGAACATTTCAAAGGTTGATAATAATGAGGTGGTAACCTCGCCGAAACGTCTCTATGAATGCATCCTTTCTTATGCAGATATTCAAGACCACATGCCGCATCTAAGCACATCCGAACCTTCTCACTGATACACAACAGTCGTCCCCTCTTCACCAGGTATACATCCAACGCTCCATCGCATATCTTCTCCAGTACTATCATTATCGGTTCCTGCAAATCACTGCACTCAACCCCCAGATTCTCTCTATCCAAGTAACTACACCCACTCGGTCAAGTGCAACTCCATACAGATGTACAACGTTCGGGTGTGAGTATCTTCGCATGATACGCGCCTCATTACCGATGCATTTGATCGTCTCTTTATCTAGCGCTCGTCCTTTGTGCACCTTCACTGCTGCCTGAAAATAATCATTCGAGTTAATAGCAATGCACTGATGAGCTTTATTTAATTCAATATGCTAATATTCGAATGCGATATCGTAAAAATGAAACGATCTACTCGCCTCAATCGTTTTACCAATGATATTCACTGTTGCCTCGTAGATACCTCCAAATCCCCCTTCTCCGATCAAACGTCCCAATTTTATCTGTAATCATTGAAAGGAGACAGTGCTTCGGAAAATGCAGAAATCAAGTTGGCATGAGTTTAACGGCTTTTGTATGTCAAGCAGTCATGCAGAATGATTGTCTTAACCCTGAACTCACAACCTGATCGTGATGCAGTTCC